TGCTGACAAATAGAGATGCCTAATTATTTCCCAAGAAAATGAAGGAAACAACTGGAGAGGAAGATGGGGGAGGGGGGAATGAGTCGATATCTGTAAGCAGAGAGAGAGAACAAGTTTCTCCAGGCATGGTCTGTGGGCAATTGAGGGTGCTGTAAATTATTATGTACATGCCAGATGTAAGCATTAAGGGGAAAGTGGGGCATATTTTGTGAAAGAAGCTAGCTCAAAATCTTGAACTGATTTGCCAGCTCAGATCAATCCACCAGGTCCAGATGGTTCTTGTTGTGATTAGCATTATAAGTTTAGCCTGGCTGCCAAATCAGCTGCAGTCCTTTGGCCAGGACACAGCTTTGCTTCAGACTAGGAATAGAGCCTGGGAGACTCCATCCTTATTATTATTACGTCTGTTATTGTTGTTATTTCTTTGAACCATGCAGCATTGCTTGTTCAGATCTTCCTTCTTTCTGAAGGACAAATCTAGAAGTATGGAATTGTGGGGCAGTCGAAAAATGACATTGTTATGTGCTTCAGAAATTAAGCAAGACCTGAATGTGGGTCCCTTTTTTTTTTTTTTTAATGTAGTAAGGTCTGCATGAACACTCTAGACCAAGTTTACATATCTCATGAATCCAGCCCATCAGCCATGGATTGGGGTTTACCAGATGGTTGGCCCAGTTACTGTTTTTGCAGTCATGGTACAACCAAGAGTTTATCAGCCATAAACTCTTGGTTGCACCATGAGTTAACCATCATAAACTCATCATGTATGGCTGATATACCCTATTTATACTCTATTTGGCTTGGTAGACCATAAGTTGCATGGGCTGCTCTGGAAATGGGAAGGAGTGGGATTTTTCACCACACCACATTTCTGTGCCATTAGCCAACTCTGTCATTAGGGATAATGAAGCAATCACTTCAGGTAGCCCACCGATGGGTGGTGGGATGGACCAAATACCTTTAAATGATGCCTTTAAAATGTTAAGCCAATTTGTTAGCTGAAAGGTGATTGTTCACACTGCCACCACCAGAGAGAGGATATATTTCTATAACTGCTTCAAGTCAGGCAGTGGGGATTGGGAATTTCTCTCCTCTAGAGAAGACTATTCTTTATCAGGTTGCTCCATCTGTGGGCCCAGCACAAAAGCAGGCAGGAGAAAGACAAGGGCTATATAAATTGATTGACTGATTGAATAAATGACAGTCAGCATTGGTGACTGGTAGGTAATCTTCCTATCTCAGATAATGAATCTTCTTAAACCATGCTGGCCAGTTTGCAAATGCATAGCAAGTGAAGTTTTCTCTGACATGGAGCAGAGCTGACAGGAAATGTCTTGTCTTCCTCCTGTTGAGAGGAGACACTTCTGGTAAAGATACTATAGTAAGACCCTGACCAACCAGCTAAACAGTGAGGCAAAATGTAGATCAAATGCTGTATTAATGGGGAAAGGATGCAAAATAAATGGTTGCCTGCTTCAGTATTTCAAATATATAGATACTGCTTTTAAGTGCTAGAATGGTGGAGGACATGAAGTAAGAAGGATATTTGTTTATACAATGTATACATAATAATAAATAAATGACCAGCTATACCCTTGAGTTGTTCTCTTTGTTTCTCTTGGGAAGCCCCCACTCCACCCACCTCTGGTTTTAAGAGATACCAACTCTGTTATCTTTCGCATGACTGTTGAGACAGAGGAAAAAGAAAGTTAATTAAGAACTCCTGATATTCATTCCCAGATTTCATTGCTTTCATATGAGTGATTTTTAATTTCTTTCCTGCCTGTCACAAATAATGTGATGAATTCACTGGAATATGTAGCATAGCTGTGATAAAAATAAGCTGGATGAAATGTAAAGTTATGCTGCAGTTTAATGTTATAAGAATAAGCCACAATGAGTCTCAGGCTTGTATGAGTCTCCTGTCTCCTCCTCTTTCTCTAGACATAGGTCAAATCTTGGAGATCCCAAGTGAAAGCCTGCAAACTATATCTTCCATTGTCATGAACTAATGTTCAAATAATAACTTGCCCATTGCATTAACCCCTAACATGGCTTGTCTGTTGGGTTCTTTGTGTTCTCTGAGTTTGCTTGGCTTCCTGCAAACCTCTCATTGCCAGGTTAGGTAACATCATCAGTGCACTGATGAAGTTACCTGAAGGAAGAGAAACAAGCTCAGAGAATATCAAGAACCCAACAATTGAAACCTGAGCTACATAGATCCCTACTATAGTATGGCTTATTTGGTTTGATTTAATACAGTGTACATTTAGTATATAAGATGGCTGATGGGTGTATGCCTGTCCTACTTTGTCATACAATTATCTCTTAGTATTCAGCAGTCCCCGTGACTTTCCACCCCTCAGTTAAATCCCAAAGGAAGGCCTCTTGAGCAAATTCCTCCCATGATGGATTTTTAGACAGCTAAACATAAGCAACCGAGGATGCTGAGACATGTAAATAAAGCAGTAAGAACAGCATCCTTAGCTACCTTACAATCAGAAGTGAGATTAAAAACACATCCAAAGAGATTTGAAAGAAACTCTTAGGCACCCTGAAAATGAGGGCAGATGGCATAATATTAATAAAACATCACAAGGTATCCAGTCCTTTACCCTGTGGATACATCCTGATCTTCCAAGTGAGGATTAGCTGGAGGAAGATTGATGGGCAGCAGAATGCCTATGTTATGAATTTTCCTTGCAATGCTTCAGGTCTAAACCTTCAATTATCTGGCAAAGTTCTTGGACTCTTGCCATTATAGCCCTGCTCTGAGTTTTGGCCTGCAACAGGTTTATAAATTGTTTTCTGTATGAATTCTTTCCATACCTCCGTTACTTCTGAAGGTGTTTTTCTTCACTACGCCCTGCCTTCCCTTCACCAGCCACCCCTATATAAAAGCCAGTATTCTGTTTCATGAAGTTGCCTCAAGAGACAGAGGACTGGGCTGTGTCAGCAGTCACAGAAACTTGGTTGGATCTTGGCTCAGCCACAGACAGAGCCCAGAGCGATATGCCAGGAATGTAACTTAAAAATGAGGAAACCTAAAGCTGGCCAACTACCAAGGATAACATCATGTAAGATATAAAAAACAAGGCATTTGTCTCAGGTCTAGTCTGGACCATTGGACAATGTCAGAGACCAACAATTGTGCAGTCTAGAAGAAACTACCTCACTGTTCTGTTGCATGAAAGTCATGCTTTGATTATGCTTAAGAACTATATCATAGTACCTCTATAACTGTAGGCTATCAAAGGAGCTCAGCATGATGATTTCTTCCACATCTTTGTTAAATGTTGTTAACCCCATGTGCATGCTGATTCTGTGGAATTCTGTGGAAATATTTACGTATTTGCTCGCATTCTGGAGGAAATTTAACAATGGAAAATTAACTTTAAGGGCTGTCAGTGGTGACTTGAATATTGATAGAGGGTTCCCTGTATACATTTGTTGCATGTACTGTCTTTCCCATTAAATCGTATGGCATCTTAAAGGTGACAGGTTTATTGTGATAGACAAACTAAGCCCAAATTATATTGAGTAATTCTTAAGGAGAAGGTATACAACTTGCTTGGGCTGAAGGATGTATTTGGGATTTGAATGGCCTGCTAGATGAAGCCAGATCAGAAAAAATGGATGGTACCAGGACTAACAATACATTTGATTCAATATAATGAGCATATAATTCAAATTCCAATTAAATGTAATTCATTAAATACAACTAATATTATTTCTGCCCACTTTTCTAATATTTCTCCAATTTGCGACATATTTAAAATTATAATTTGGAGGTAACATTGTGAAGTGTGAGTGTGGCCACACATGGCCCTGAGCCTTAGTTTAATCATCCTTGTTTAAAGGCAGGGAGCAATGTTCCAAGGGTTGGAGGCTATAATTCACTCCCCCAACCAGCTAAGGGGCTATAAGAGACATTGCTGGTCACATCACAGGAATGGATTTTTCCTTCTTATTTTGGGCTCATTAAGGGTGCCAAGTGACACACGAAGTTTCTGGAAATCAACCTTTCCCTTTTCTTTTTGTAATCCCACCCAACTACCCCCATACTGCTCATAACTGTGCCACCCAAATTCAGAAAAATGGCTGGATTCCAGCGCCATGATTTCAGGCACAAGTTGGGGGTGTTAAGGATAGAATTAGTGGGAGATGTCTGAGGATCAAATAGCTCCCATTTTCACCTTTATCTGAAGGGCAAGGGAACTTAAAATCACATTTAAAAAAAAGTCAGTCATTTTGCAGCTAAATTTGAGTGATGCAGTTTCAGAGTATCAGGGATATAAATTAGGTTCTGTTTGCATAGGCTTCAGATTGGCCAGCCTTGCCTTAGAGTGACCAAAGACTCATTATTCTTCATGGATAGCTTTCCAGGGTTTCAGACTTTCTCTGCATTTGTCTACAGCTGTCATTATTTAATGTATGGATGCCAATAATGAAACACTGGCCATCCCCTGTAACACAGCACACTGTAGCTGACGTTTTGCATTATACATTTCCAAAATCAAGTTGTCCCAGCCATAGGCTTCAGCAGATGGGTGGTGCTGAATAAAATAGCACACCAAATGTCTGATTGAGAAAGCTGCTTCCACATGGTTACTTTTTCCATGTAGCAGACTTTTAGCTCAGCCTCTCCAACTGGGTATTTTCCCCCATCCATCATGAAGATCTTGTCAGCTAGAAATTCAGGGAGTTACATTCACCATATATCCATGGAGCAGCAGTCTGGAGAAGGATGGCTTAGCTCTTCTGAATCTGGCAAATTATCAAAACAAAGGGAGGCGCTTTTCTCCACTGCTAAAGTATTCAGCTCTTCTGCTCTAGGTTCTTCCAGCTTGCTCAAATTAAGGGTAAGAACCCACAAGCTTGGCTTAGTGGTTGGGTGGAAGCACAAAAGATTGTGATTCAATTTGCAACTCTGGGGTGAATGCCAGTTTCAGATAGAGCAATTCTGGATATCTGCTTGCCAGCTGTGAGAGGGATATATAAGCTGAACTTCTAGCAAAGGTATTCTACCTGCTTTAATTTCTCTTTCTCCTGTTGATATCTAGGAGGCTCTCTCAGTGGTGAGTGAAGATCAGTCACTCTTTGATTCTACCTACGGAGCTGGTGCTCACCTTTCCAAAGCAGACATGACAGCCTCAGGGAACCCAGATTATGGTCAACCACACAAGATCAACCCTTTACCTCCCCAGCAAGAGTGGATCAATCAGCCAGTCCGCGTCAATGTTAAGAGGGAATATGATCATGTGAATGGATCAAGGTAAGGATGGACAAGGGCCTTTCTGGCATGATAAACTGGGGCTATTTTATCAGGGCTACAAACATCCAGTCAGCCACCAGATGGCAGCCAAGATGTACAGGAAGTAGTAACTTTGCTGCCATCTAGAGGGAGTAAGGATTTTAGTATCTTAGATGCACTCGGTCTCTGTTAAATGGATATATTCAGCTCAGTTATAAGGGGAAGCTTAGATCACGGAAAGATGGTGAGAATGGAGGGTAAGTTGTATGGCTATGCTGCTGAACTCTCTTCCATTCATTAAGTTTTCACATAGAGACACTCTCTCACACCCAAACAAATGCACAAACAAATCCATTCAAAAAACCACTACTAAGAGAAATGATGGGATAACAATTTATTCTCTTTTAGCTGCTGGCTAATCAACAGGGCAGCGAGGAATCAGGATGCCTCTTAAGAAGTCCTTTGCAATGAAATAATATAGGCCCATGTGTTCGGTCATTCACAAGAGCAGAACACATGCTGGTCTGAACAAATAGGAAGGCACATTTGAAGGGCTATGATTCTCTATCATTAGAAAGTTTCAAAAAAGATTTTGGGGAGGCATCCACACACATTGAGAAAACCATAAGATTCCTCCCTTCAGATTTGACTTTGCTTGCTGAGATGAAATAAGATGCTGATAATTGCAAAGCCACCATACCTTAGAGGGCCACACCTAGAAGCTGTCGGTGGTTTGCCACAAAGTGTGCGTGAAATATAACCCTATGTAGCAGCTTCCCCCATGGGCTGAGTGACAGAAAGATTTAGGAATCTAAAAAGTTGCCTTCTGTTGAGCCAGATCATTGGTTCAGTTATCCCAGTCTTGTTGACCCTGACAGGCAGTGGTCCCCAGAATGAAAATCTTAGATGCCAAGGCAGAATGTGGATTTTCTTCATGCAAAGCCTTTCTTCTACCCCAATGAGCCAATAAGAAGACAGAACTGCTCAGTACACTGGATTTTGCAAGACAAACATACTGCTATTTTCTGCTGGTTTATTTTCAGGAGGAAATAGCAGCACCGCTGAACGTTTTGAGAGATAAAGTTTAGACTATGGCTTTCTAAAACAGAGAAACTTTGTAAATGACATTGCATGTATTTTCACAAAACGGTGAGGGAATGAGAGACGGTGGAGAGAGGCCTTCAACTCTCTTTATTTTTTTGTCTGCCCATGCCTCTCATCTGCCCTGGGAAGCATTCGGTTTTTGTATTGCAGGAGGCACAAGAGAATGGCAGACAAATGGGGAAAATATACAACATGACAGAAAGTAGGCCTATGTTGCATCACAAAGCTCTTCCAGGAGTCCAGCCTATCTGTTGCTGGAGTCTTCTGATTTAAAAATAAGAACAAAGCAGGGTTTGATCAAGCCATTCTGATCTTCTTGAATAACAGATAGGCGATAAGGACTTGGTCAGATCTTATTTAAATTATTGGATTAAATTATTTAAATTATTGGTTGAATTAATTTGGAAGAAAGCTGCTTTGCACAAAGGGCCATTGAATTGTTGGATCAGTTTAAAAGACAAGCAGTTTATTTCTTGTGATGGTGGTAAGCCACCAAGTTGCTTGTACTGCTCTATTTGGCACCCTTAATGCAATCCTAACATCATGCCATTCCTTTGGGAGATCAGGATCCGGGAAGAGGGATAAGTCAGTCTTTTTATCCAATGGCCCCATTGAATGCACCTCGCAAGACTGCTCGGTGAAATATTGCTGCTCCTTCCCTGTTAATAAATGAGAGTTCCCAAACTGATAAAAACCTCAAGACTACAGTCAAAAGCTGGGACTTAGTGTGTTGATAAGCCCCCACCAATGGCAGCATATGATTGCTGGAGAGAGTTCCACTATCCATAAACAGAGGCACATCTATCTTGAAATGGACTCGGTTCTAATGGTTGATCCACCCCCAAAATATCAAAATTGGAAGCTGACATGTGGGTACAATATGGTTGTCATAAAAGAGTTTTTAACCCCCCCCCTTTTTTTTTTTAACAAGGTGGCTATTATTAACCTTTTGCAGCAAAAAATAACATTCTGATGGGACTAATATCTTTATTATTTGTTTGTTTTTATTTGATTTTTATTCCACCTTTATTTTTGGCCAACTCAGAGCAGCTTACACACCTAATGTATAGGTTGGGTTGAGAGAGAGAGCAACTGGCCCAAAGTCACCCAGCTGGCTTTCATACCTAAGGGAGGACTAGAACTCACAGGCTCCCAGTTTCTAGCTTAACCACTACACCAAACTGGCTCTCAAATAACAACAACAACAACAACAACAACAACATAATAATAATAATAATGCATAAACACTCATGGATCAAATGGATAGTGTTATTGTTACTTT